CTGTGAGGTCTCCACACAACCTTCTCCTCTCCAGGCTGAACATTCCCAGCTCTCCCAGCCTGTCTCCACAGGGGAGGTGCTCCAGTCCCCTCAGCAACTTGGTGGCCTCCTCTGGACTTGCTCCAATAATTCCACGTCCTTCTGATGCTGGGACACCAGAACTGTGCACAGTGACCCAGGTCACCTGGGGGCCTCACCAGGGCAGAGCAGAGAGGCAGAATCCCCTCCCTGGACCTGCTGCCCATGCTCAGACTGTGTGGGACAATCATGTTGGTGTAATGAATATTTTAAAGGTAATCAGGTGCAGCCTCACCTCTTGCTGTGCATATCCTCGCCTAGAAGTCAGAAAAAGAAAAAAAACCAGTTAGTAGAATTCTGTGAACCTGCACAAAGATGCACATGGCCATTCTTGCTGGGGAGAGGTGAAAAGAGAATGCAATTAGAACTGGCATGAAAAGAAATCCGTATCTATAATACCAAATACATTTTTCTTTGGATTGGCTCTGGCCACAGGGATCATTGCATGAGAAAGGCTGGGAAGCTTTGGGAGCTTTCCTTGCTTTAGATCACAAATGGAAACAGGGGGGTTGGGAAGTCCTGCCCTTCCCTGCTGTCCCAGAGACCTACAGAGATCATCCCCAGGGAGACTCTGTTACCCCCCACATCTCCTCAGGCAGTGAAACAGCTTCTCTTCTACTCCTGGACTTCCCATATCCACTCAGGACTTGCTGGGAATTGCCCTGCAGCTTCTATGACTAATTCCTTGTACCAACATTGTTATTAAAATTACTCACTTCCTAACATTTGCTCAGCAGGGGGGAGTTAAACGTTTTTGGGTTTTTTTCTGCTATCTTTTTTTTTTTTTGCAATTTTGCCACAGGCTTTGTGCTTCTGATCTTATTGGGAATTTGTTGTTGTTTTAATTCATTTTCTTGGAGCCATTCCTGGGCATGACAAATGCACTTATGTCTATCAAGTTCTCTATTTTCACATTTTGTGTCGGAAAATTAGAATTGTTTTGGTCTTTTAGGCCTTGGCATTATTCTTAAGGATAAGGCTGGATTATTTTTATTACATTTTTTAAGAAGGAAAGGGTAAATGCTCAAATTTATGTTAGGCTTAGCCTAGTACACAGACAGCACTCTAGGGGAAGTCTCTAATTACACCGAGTAACTAATAAAGAACAGAGTAGAAGTCCTTTTAATTCTTTAATATCACCATCTCTAAAGTTTCCTATTAATATTCAGCACATGGAATTGATTATCAGCATTAAATTAACGCTGTCACCTATATAATATAAAACTAATGAACAACCAAAATGAAGATTTATCATCAGAAGATGATCTGTGGCTTTTCAAAGGCCACTTGAGGAACGCTGTATTTAGTTTCTATATTGCCTACAACAATCTTCAGAGAAAGAAGGTCTGAGGAGAAGCTTATTAGTCTTAATTGCTCTCAGATAGTCATTATATTGCAGATTAAAAGCATAATATAAGTAATTCTAATCAAATTTGGAACTCAGCTTTCTTAAAAACAGCACCACACTGGGTTTTGAGATGCTGATACTTCTCTAAGAGTTTTGTGTGGCCACGATTAGGAGAAAGAAAAATGCTCAAAAGACATAAAATACCCTTTCACTCAATACAGCACAAGGATCTACTGTGACAGAAAGGCAAAGGTCAAAACACCACCATCTGTTTCCAGGAAGGAATTAAAGCTCTCCACAGAGGGAGGAATTGCTTCTGGATAAACATTATCAGCCA